CTGAATAGAACAGTTGTAATCGCATGGCTTTATGACGGGCGAATGGGACGATTGAACTCAGGTCTCAGTATTGTTTGTGTCCCAGCACTGATCTACAATACAGTTACTCGGGGTCTGGCACTATGACGAGCAACGGTGGCCTTCTTGTAGTTGTGTGGTAGCATCCATTTGTCGATCTGAATGCCGAGGAACAGGCAATATGCACCGACAGTGACGGATTGGCTTCCCCCCCCCCTCCCCCCTTCCCCCCCATCTGTATAGAGCGCTTGAAAGCCACAGTGTGGGAATCCTTTGCTATGATGATCATCCACTTGCGCCCACGTAACTCTTCATGGTAGAACTCGGGCGGCTTCTCATCTGCATTCATAGAAAATTGACGATTGTGAGTTTCGACTCGAGGTCCGAGACCACCCATATTTCATCTAGGGCCGGGGTGCGTTTTCACAGTTGTGAGTGACATCTCATGCTGAGAACATTACTGCTGGAGGTATAGAATCGGTACTGCGTTCGTGCTTCTATAAGAAAATTGGGTACCCATGCGCCACCCTCTTGACCATCCTCCGTTTATCGGACATAACTCGGGCAGCAGTTGCAGCTGGGATGTCAGTCTCGCGGGGAAACCCGACAAAGGTCCAGGCTCTGTGATCAGATATTCAGTGCCTGACTTCATCCACCCGTTTTTCTTGTGCAGGATGAATATTATGGGACCATCCCACGACAACAAATTTTTCCTTTCTTCCTTGTACGGGCTCCTGAACCAGATCTTCCACCGTGTATTTCGAGAACACCCTTACACACAACTATGGTCCGGCGCAGGTCAAATTTGAGCAGCGCACTTTCCTTTTATGACGTCTGATTTGAAAAACCGGCGCCGATTTTCACCACTCGGGCTTCTTTTCAATTTCTCGAGAACTTCTTCAGAGGCTAGGTTCGCCAAATTTCACAGATACACAGCTTAAGGTACTAGCTTCCAAATGGTATAGTAGCCCGCTGCTCTATCCCCTTTGCTTTTCTGCCATTCCTCTATATGTGTCGGCCACTTTGAATGGGATGACCTAATAGCTTCCCATATCACTTACGACAGTTCAAGAGGATTGTAGCCGCACGGCTGCGTAGCCATGAAACATCCTGGTTATTTGAGAGTGAGTTTGAATTTCCTAACTCCCAATCGATAATTGACAGTCTAGTTTCATTTTCTTTTCGCTTCGCATTAATTCCTTCACTATACTGGGCAACATGGCCATTTCGAGCGCTGATGTGCTCTTCGTCTTGGTTACTGTTCTTGAGGGTTTTCTTTTCGTTCTCTGCTTGTTTTACTCTCTCACGTTTGCCTCATAGGAGCGTAATAAACATAACATAACAATGTTAAAGGCAAGTGTTTCAAGTTATTAAATTATGACAGAATTTTCCAGTCGGCCGCTATATGCTATGAATAATCAGAGCTATATGAAACCAATTAGGTCCAACGGCAGAGATTAGAAAAGGAAATAGGAGTCCAGCATCGAAATTTGAGGGACCATTAGTTTGCCGTGAGTGGAATTGCCGTTTGCCCCAGAAAAAAATTCCCAAGACAGTATGAATAGCAGTGGAGTGACGCTTAGACAGAGTTCCGTAGCCAACCAGGGAGCGAACCCCAGATGGACAGGACGCAGAGAAGAAAGCCATCACACTTTTAATCGCGCAGGTTAATATGGTACATGAGCGGCTCAGCCTGAGATATTTAGATATGTTTCTCATTCTTCACCGCCACGAGAAGATTAAGACAGAAAACTCAGAAGGGCTTACAAAGAGTTTTTCGCTAGCGGTCGGATTTACTATGGAGCTACATGAAGCAGCTACGTTATCTCCAGAGCCAGGTTTCTGGAGGAAACCCTTTACTGCCCGGATCATCCGAAATCAGCCAATTTTTGACCGGCTTTTTTCTACGTGGGCATAAATGTTTAACAAGCAGTCTGCTTGTTAAACATTTAAACAGTTAGTTTGACCTCATGAACAAGAATATCATATCCGCTCCAATTAAATCTCCTGACACCCGAGCCATAGGCGCCGGCGCTAAAATACCCCAAATCACTAAATTTGCCTAGAGTTTGGCCGTGGGCGTCGTTTCGCCTCCCGGGCACGAATATCACATCTGTAAGGAGTGCTGAGAATGTTTAGGATGGAGCAAGGAGGTGCGCGTGATAGCCCAAACTGCTTCTGCTCGTCTGCACACTTTCTCCGAGATAGTGGTCTCTAAGCCTGAGTAAATGAACGATAGCTATCACAGGCAACCAGGAAGAGTGCTGATTTTTTTCACCGTTGCCTAACTGCTCTAGCACACAGCTCATAGCGACTGTAGTCTGTGCCACATGCGCCGGAGTCGAAACATGCTTATGATGAGCCGCTTGTGACGTATGCATCAGGCGGTTTTGGGCTGGGCTGATGTGCTATTCGTGTTCAGGAAGTCAAAGTACCCTAGGAGACAGCTTTCAAGTGATTCTGCCCACGGAGGAAAAAGTCAGTCAAAAAGTGGCTTGATTCCGGATGATAGTAGCAGTAAAGGGTAATATGCCAAGACTTTAAAGTTAAATTTTGAAAAAAATGCTCAACTTTCCCATGTGAAATTGAAAAGATGGAATTTTGAGCCCACAAAATGTTCAAAACGTCACGGTTTCCAAGAGCGCCCTATTACTGCAAAATGTCTCCCCCCTCCGAAAATGGAAGGAAAAACAGAAAACGTTCCTGGCAGATCACAAGAATGCTGAGTTATGGGCAAAAGTCGAACCCCAGGCGGGAGTCGAACCCGCACCTCACGCTTTCCGTGGCGAGTGCGCTATCCGTTCTTGGTAGAGTTCAGGTTTCGCGCTTCTTCTACCACACCCGTCCCATAATGCTGCAAGCTGCCTATCTTCACTCTTGAACCACACCTCTAACACACTCTTCTTGGACTGCTTTTCCACTGACTAAACTCAACTCCTTCCCTCCTCATCTACTCAACACGGTCCCTCAGAACATTCCGTGAGAATCCTAACTGTTTACGTTCTTATTCAAGCATCGATAATGGAGGCAATTATGAAAAGGTTGCTTTTTTTCAGGAAAAGGGCACAATCGAAATTGTTAATCCCTGCGTTAGAAAGCTCTGTTTTTCTGGAACGGCTCAAAAATCCGCGGAGATCATCGAGTTGAATGTACTTATGTTAGTGATAACAGCATTCCAGGCATCGATAATTGCTGTGGAGTCACGGCGAGGAGATAAATGTTATCATGGCTAGAGTCACCATAAAGCAGACATCCAATGGGTAAAGATAATTTCCGATTTCTTTCCCAATTTAGATGGAAGAGAAGAATCGTCCCAATCTGTGGTTGGTACATTTAGTTCCGACCATCTGAAAGCTGATCACCCCAGCCCCAGGAAGGAAATTATGTTATTTGATAGAGTTATAAATGCGCTTCAAATCATTGTGGGGCAACCTAACAGAAGGTTTACGGAAAGTAGCATTCGAATACTGAGAACCGAAAGCCTCAAGGATTTTCTTTACGACCTAATAACTGTCTAATAAGATGATCACCTGCCGTCGAAACAAGGATAGTGAAGGCGACGCAGTTTGAAAAGCCCAACTTTTCTGCACCGCTAAGAGATTTTGCGCAAAGAATTGCGACTGAATCTGGGATATGGTCACCCGAAAATGGTATCTTTGCCACAGTAGCGTGTTCTTTTCTTAACGAAGAGCTATGGTGAAGCGAATATTAGAGAAAAGTCTTGGGAAGGCGTTCACTTGCGCTGTATTAGACCTTGCTGATAAGCCATGACAGCGTGGAATGATATCACTGCGCGCTTGAAGTAGAATGGTTGGGCAGAAAAGAGTTAGTAGTAGAAGAGTTTCGTACTGCGTCGATGTGGTGCACGATACCTCCTAAACCTATGATCACATGTCCTCCGAACTGCGTCTCATCCCTTGGTCACTGAAAAGATACGACGTCGTTTGGAGATTATGTTCAACTTTCAAGGAGGAAGGATCGGGTGGTGCTCAATAGGCCATTTCCTTTTCAGTTGAGCCGCTTTCGTTACTTTGAGGCAGCGTGCCAGCGACCAGTGGCGCCCATCACCGACTACTATCGTTCCGAGCGCGACAACGTCAGCGACCAGGAAAGTATTGATATTATCTAGCGACAGGGTGAGAGCTGTCAACTGTCTGCTACGTTCCTGTCGCTCCATACTCTCCCTTTCCGGACGCTGCTGGTTGCTGGTGGACGCTGGTATACGGTGGTGGTCGCTAGGTTGATACCTACAATTCCCTAGCCCCTGACGCTGCCGGACGTTCGGAACGCTAGTGGTCGCTGGTGGAGCTGCTTGTCGCTGGTGGACGCTGCCGCGAAGTATGAACGCAGCCTAATGCCGTGCACTAGCACATGTATTTTTTTGCTTTATCTCCAGATGGAGACGATGTTTGCGAGAGCCATAAGTCAGTTTGAAGTAGCTTACCATCAAAGGGCATGTAGTCAGTATTCCCGCGAAGAGGTGTATTGGGTATCCTCTATGGGGTTGCCAAACTCTTTAAATCCAGAGTCACCATTTGCCTTGTGAGTTTGACAGTTTGGTTTCTACTGGGGTAGGAGTTAGGCTCGAGCAATTCAAACTGGGATAAGAGGGTGCTGGAATAAGGGATAACAAAGTCCCGCTGTATTTTCCTTGTTATAAATCCAGCGTTGTACATCATTGTAGACCAGACCAAGCGCTTCTAAATGGTCCATTAGCTTAGGCTTTGTAACAATTATATGGTCCGTGGCACTGAATCAGGTACAGCTATTCTCTAAATCTCAACAGAAGGAGTCGAGCTAAAAGCACTAAATCTTTATTCAGTCTGATATGTGTGAATACCTCGATGTAGTGGAACAACTGCCGTCCTAAAAATTTCAGACGCTAAGAATAAAACACTATGATCGAAAATAAATACATGCGTCATTGAAGTCGTTAAAGTGCTAAGTTTACGCAGAGGTTCTCTACAAATGATCGACGACATTTAGTTCTTGAGCTTGGCTAGAAGATCAAGGTACTGCGGACTTTGCAGGAAACGTACATAGGGATCGTTGCGTAGGACCTGAAAAGGAACTGTACTCAAAAGTCCATTGCGAAGAAAGTGTTCATACCCATAGTCAGCAACATTGAGCAC